CACCATCACAATCATCACATTACCCACCATCACAACCCATCATCACCATTACCCCCATCACAACCATTCATCACCATTACCACCATCACAATTCATCATTACCACACATCACCATACCACATCACATCATTACCACCATATCCATCACAATCATCATTACCACCAAATCTTCATTCATCATTACCACCATCACAATCATCATTCATCACAACCAGCATCACCATTACCACCATCACATCATCATTACACCATCACAATCATTCATCACCATCACCATTCCACCATCACAATCATCATCATTACCCATCACAACCATCATCATCATTACCACCATCACAACCACAATTTACACCCAGGCACCTCGACCTGCCCCGCTGACTTCGAAGCCTTCGAGGGCCTCTGCCTCCACCTCGGGCCAGAGCGCACGAACTGGCACGACGCCCGCAAGTACTGCCTGTCCGTGGGAGGGACCTTGGTGAGCGGCCTCCGAAACGCGAAAATTGGTCGCTCGTTCGCCCAAAGTGAGTGGTTTGGTCGTTATGGGTCGTTGTGGTGGTCCGTTTGTGGCGTTGGTTGCGTTTGTGGCGGTTCTCTCTTTTTGTTTTGTTTGTGGTTGTGTCTTCTGTTTTGCCCCATGTAAAAACGTTTTTTCCTCGCCAGATCGAATCCCTCATCCCCCTTTACTTCTGTTTCTTTTTTTTTCCTCGCCAGAATCGAACCCTCCCCCACCCCTTCACTAACACCCAAACAACCTTCCTCCCCAAATCTAAAAACGTTTTTTTCCTCGCCAGAATCGAACCCCCACCACCCCTTCAATAACATAAACAACCTTCCTCCCCAAATCTAAAAACGTTTTTTTCTCGCCAGAATCGAACCCTCATCCCTTTACTAAAAACAACCGAACGAACAGAATCTAAAAAAAAAAAAAAAAACGTTCTTTTTTTCTCGCCAGAATCGAACTCCCCCACCCCTTCATAACACCCAGAACACCTTCCTCCCCAAGTCTAAAAACTTTTATCCTCGCCAGAATCGAAACCCCCCTTCACTGACACCCAAACAACCTTCCTCCCCAAATTAAAAACGTTTCCTCGCCAGAATCGAACTTCACTCCCACCACCCCTTCACTGATCACCCCTTCCCTAAAACAACCTTCCTCCCCAATCTAAAAACGTTTTTTTCGCCAGAATCGAACCCTCCCACCACCTTTCACTGACACCCAAACAACCTTCCTCCCCAAATCTAAAAACGTTTTTTCCTCGCCAGAATCGAACCCCTCCCACCACCCCTTCACTGACACCCAAACAACCTTCCTCCCAAATCTAAAAACGTTTTTTTTCCTCGCCAGAATCGAACCCTCCCACCACCCCTTCACTGACACCCAAACAACCTTCCTCCCCAAATCTAAAAACGTTTTTTCCTCGCCAGAATCGAACCCTCATCCCCTTTACTAACAAACAACCGAACGAACAGAATCTAAAAAAAAAAAAAAACGTTCTTTTTTTTCCTCGCCAGAATCTAACCCTCCCCCACCCCTTCACTAACACCCAAACAACTTCCTCCCAAATCTAAAAAACGTTTTTTCCTCGCCAAGAATCGAACCCCACCCCCTTTACTAACAAACAAACCGAACGAACAGAATCTAAAAAAAAAAAAAAAAAACGTTCTTTTTTTCCTCGCCAGAATCTAACCCTCCCCCCACCCCTTCACTAACACCCAAACAACCTTCCTCCCCAAATCTAAAAACGTTTTTTTCTCGCCAGAATCGAACGCAGACCATATGTGGATCGGAGGCCACGACTTGTTTGAAGAAGGGCGATGGGAATGGCTCTCAGGGGAGGCCATGCCGACGGGAACCTCATTCTGGTCTTATTATCTGGGGTGAGGTCTTTTTTTGTAGTTTATCATTTGTACTTGTCTTATTATTACTATTTGTTTTGTTGTCTTTGCTATTGTTTTCAGAATGAGTCATGGTATTGGTGTTAACGGTGGTATAAGTGTTTTTTTTTTTTTTTTTTTGCTTCTATCATTTCTTATTTGTAGAAGGGATTATATCATTTTATCAATTTTATCAATGTATTATATCATTTTCATATATATCTCTTCATGTAATCATTTCCTATTAATGCGAGTATCATTAATACTTTTAAGAATAGATTCCACACTCGATCTTTTTACCACATCAAAACCAACAAAAATAACAACAGTCATGATGACAATGAAAATAACCTAATCCTCGTGACAAAAATAACACAAAACTTTTTTTTTTTTCAAAATGCCAAACATAGATAAAAGAAAAACTATTATAGATAATTCTTCTCACCAAAGCCCAACTGCCTCTCACGACAGAGTACAACAACCGAACAATGGAGGAGATGGAGAGCACTGTGCCGTTCTCTACGTTCCGGACAACCACAATTTCCATGACTTCCCTTGCAGCTGGGATTGCTTACCGCTGTGCCAGGTGGAAGTCTGTGCTTGATTAGGAAGTAGGAGAGAAGGAGAGAGAGGAAGGAAGGGGAGAAGGGAAGGAAGGGGAGAGAAGTGAGAGAGATGGGGAGAGGTGAAGGAAGGGGAGAAGTGAGAGAGAGAAGGTAAGGAGAGAGTGGGGAGAGGTGAAGGAAGGAGAGGAGAGAGAAGGGGGAGAAGTGAAAGAGAGAGAGGGAAAGGTAAGGAGAGAGTGGGGAGAGGTGAAGGAAGGAGAGGAGAGAGAAGGGGGAGAAGTGAAAGAGAGAGAGGGAAAGGTAAGGAGAGAGATTGGGAGAGGGGAAGGAACGAGAGGAGAGAGAAGAGGGAGAAGTGAGAGAGAGAGGGGAAGGTAAGGAGAGAGGTGGGGAGACGTGAAGGAAGGGGAGGAGAGAGAAGGGGGGAGAAGTGGGAAAGAGAGAGGGGAAGGTAAGGAGAAAGATGGGGAGAGGTGAAGGAAGGGGAGGAGACAGAAGGGAGAGAAGTGAGAAAGAGAGAGAGAGAGGGGAAGTTAAGGAGAGAGATGGGGAGAAGGGAAGGGAGGGAGAGGAGAGAGAAGGGGAGAGGGGATGGTAAGGAGAGAGAAGGGGAGAAGGGAAGGAAGAAGGAGAGAGGAAAGTACAAGGTGAGGTACAAGTGTTGTCATTGATATATCCATAGAGCCGCTAGACTGGGTTTTAAAATCCGCCAGACATAAAATCTCACTTCCCCACTAAAAGAGAACTTTAAAAACATCGCTAAATATAGAGCAAGCTTACAATAAAAATTCCTGCTGGATCATGGCTGGAAAATAACTAAAATGGCAACACTGGCTGAGCGATGCGATAGTCATTAAGCCTACGGTTTCATGCACATCCCTACTCCGTCTACCTAAGCCTTATGTTGGGCAGCGCTAACAAGCAGTTATGCCTTGTGGCTGTAAGAACACAACTACAGACCCACACCAATGACCTCCTGCGAGAAGAGACGAAGAGAGGTCACCACGTCACACGACAGGTGACCCGGCCGAGGTCAGAACACGAATGACCCTACCATGGCCTTACACTCCCTCCCTTACGACCAACGCTACTCTTCGGGAGTGCCTTTTTTTCCTCCAATAAATGTGTTAAGCAGATGTTGAGTTTTCCTCCGAACTTGCAAGTCAAAACAGAGGTTCTCCTGTAAACTAAAACAGAGACTCTTATAGAAGAAGGAGGAGGGAGGGAAGGAGAGTGAGGGAGAGGAAGATGAGGTCAAAGATAGAGAGATGTTAAGGGATGAGAGAGGAGGGGAGTAAATTGAAGGAAAGAAGGAAGGGGAGAAGAGAGAATGAGAGAAAAAAGGGGAAGAGAGAGAATAAGAAAGCGGAAGGGAATGAGAAAAAAAAAATATTGAGAAAGAAGGAGAGAGGAGGCAGTGGAAGATAAGAGAGAGAGGAAAAAGAAGAAAAGGGAGGGAGAAGTGAAGCTACGGAGAGATAATGAACGAGTGAATGGGAATGAAAGAAAGAAAGACAATGAGACAGAAAGATACCGAAAGGAAGAGAACGAGAGAGAACGAGGCAGGGAAAGATGAAGAGAAAGATGGAGACAAAGGAAGAGAGAGAGAATGAGAAAGAGGATGGGAATGAGAGAGTGAAAGTGAATGAGAGAGAAAGAGAGAGAGAAAGATGAAGAAAGAGAAAGCGAGAGGAGAAGAAAAAGAGAAAGAGGGGAAGAGGAAGAGAAAGAAAAAGAGAGTGGATGAGGAAGAGAGAAGAGAAAGAGGGAGGTAAAATGAAAGAGAGAGGAGAAAAAGTGAGAGAGAAGGCAGGGGAAGTGAAAGATAAAGAGTCCCGACGCATTTGCTCCATTTACCAAATACTTGACATCGTGTCTAATCTGATAACGAAACTAGATCCCCGCGTCGTAGGGAAATCCGGACTCTAACGTTATCGATTAATATATATATATATATATATATATATATATATATATATATATATATATATATATATATATATATATATAATATATAATATATATGCACACACACACACAGACACACACACACACACACATATATACACATACATACACACACATATATACACGAGTATGTATATTCCGGTTCTCGACGCTATTTCCCGTGTATGCGTATATTGAATGCATATGCATATCATATACGAATATCGAATGCGTATATTATCACCGATATGCTTCCGTTAATGCACCACCGTCATGAGATAGAAGGCATTAACGCAAACATATCGATGCTTATGTTGTATAGGAAAGTCTGGATCAACAAAAATGTAAAATAAAACCATTGAACATTGTAATTTTATAATCTTGTCTCCCCCCTATATATATATATATATTATATATATATATATATATATATATATATATGTACATATGTATATATGTACATATATATACATATATATATTTATATGAATATATATGCATATAAATACACACACACATACACACACACACACACACACACACACATATATATATACATACATATATATATATATATATATATATATATATATATATATATATATAATATAT